CTGGCGGCGCCCAGTGCGGCGTTCACAACCATGCAGTGGCGGCTAGAGCAGCGGCTATCAATTATGTCACGGGGTAGGCTGAAACGGCAAAAGAAATCCACTGGCCTTCTGGGCGTAGGCGACTTGACCCGCCCTCGTAAATCTGGGCATACGTTGTCTCTCGGCTCAGGATGGCTCCAGGATGGGCCCCAGAGGCTTCCTGAGAGGCTCGAGGAGGTCCCCAAAAGAGCCCTGGACGTCCCCGAGATGGGCCATAGCCCAAGACAATGGCTCCCAAATGGGCCATAGCCCAAGACAATGGCTCCCAAGTGTATAGGGCCAGGGCGCCCAAGATGGCTCCAAATCGGCCCAAATCGGCCCAAGACCATCCCAGGGTGGTCCCAATACACCCCCAGATGGCGCCCTGGCCCTCGAAATCGACCCCAACAGGCCCAAAGGGGGCCCGGCATGGCTCCAGGAGGCGCCCCGAGAGAGCCCCAATACAAGACGATCTAAAATTGCACCGTGAAAGTCTCATGATGGCTCCAAGAGGCTCCCACTCCTCACCCTCCTCGTGTTCCTCGCCGCTACCTGGTATCAGAGCAAAGGCACGCCTGCCACTTGTGTGAAAGGATGGCTCCCACTAAGGCGGAGGGGCAAGTCAATTAGTGAGATGCGTAGATGGTCTCAAGAGTGTCTGGAATTGCTATTGCTGCGCACTTTCACTGGCTGTGCATGTGCGATCAGAAGAATGCGATGCTCTCAATGGCACTTGCAAATGTTACGGGAGTAACGAGGACCGAGCGGCATGTTTTCTCAAAGCGGAAGCTCCGAATGTGTTCGTTGATTTCTAACGTCGGGGGGTGGTTGCTTGCACGTCGCTGCACTATCCCAGAAACGGTCTTACAAAAGACGGTATGCCGAGGTGGTCTCCGTAACGACGCCACAAGACATGTGACAGGGGAATCCAGCCCCAGGACACCGACCCCGCTCTTCGGCACAAAACCCCCAAAACCAGAAGAGGCCATGAGGCGGCCGTGGACCACGAACCACCTGTGTCACCTAACTTCCGCATCGCGCCCAGCCATGTGCGAAGAGCGGTTATCTTCGCGCCCTCGGGAGGCCTCGTTTGAGAAGGGCAGCTCTGTAGTCGAGGACGCGACGCGCGAAGCGCGATTATCTTCGCATGATCTAGAACCACCGACTGAACATGCCACAGACCATATGCTGTGGCAACTCATGGGAGCCTCGACTTGTACTCGAGGCTACACGACGCTGATCGTCGCGAAATCGACGCTTTTCGACGCGACCTCGACACTACATCAACGCTTACCGATACTAGATCGGCGCTTCCTCATCGACTGCCAGACGCTAGCGCGCGCTAGTGCATTCGAAATACTGAATCTCGAGCACACTCAGGCTTCCCAGTTGTTCTTTCCCCAGATGGGCCAAAGACCAAAAGGATGCAGGTGCTAACCCGACTAAGAACATTGGAGAATGCACCTCGACAAACGAGAAAAGACAAAAGGTACGGCAGCGGCGCGGGCAAGCCTCAGAAGACGAAGGCGCTCGGAGACGCGGCGAGCTAACGCGCACACGCACGCAAACAGAAAAGCATTACCGCCACACTCTATCATCCGCGGGGCTCCCAAGAGGGCCACGGGCCACCCGAGCGGGCCCCCGAGCCCCGCGGAGCGGCGATGAGCCGCGGGCCGCCCGCCCCGTCCGGCGATGGGGGCGACCGAGAACCACCGACTGAGCATGCCACGGGCCACGAGGCAACGGGAGACCCTTTATCGGCGAGCGAGCGAGGGGGGGAAGTGAGAGGAGGGGCGGGCCTTCTCAGAGGACTCAGAAGACCTCCGGCCGTCTGAGAAGATTCCAAGCCTTCCCCGGAGGCACAGAACACTTCTCAAAAGGCGCAAGAGCTTCCGAGAAGTCCCGCCGCCTTCTGAGAAGGCCTTTTCCTTCTCGTTTCCCCTTCTCGCTCGCCGCCGACTCTAAACTCAACCTCTGCCCCTACAGTCGGACCCAGGCCAGAAGAACGTCCCTCCAGAACATGCGGCCCTCTGTCGGCCCGAACAAGCAGAGCATCCAAGGGCGGCCTCCCAAAACGCTGGCAGGCTAATTGGTCTGAAAAAACTCGACGGAAAGTTTGCATAACTTCGGTCGATTAAAAATTATGTTCTCGAAATTGAATAATCGTTAGAGCTCTAATATGTTTCTCCGGGATGCACAAGAACATCCAGCAAACATGAGAAGCATTAGGGCACCCTCCCTGAACCGACCTCGACCTCTGTACCTCGGTCCGACCGTGCCTGCGGAACGAACATTTGCCCACCCCACCGTGTTCTGGAAACCTGAGGTTGCACATTAAGTCGGGCCTGTCCCCCTACAGAGGGATTTTGGACCAAAAATCAGAAATACCTCAACAATGTCCCCTAATGATTAAAAAATCATCAAAAAATCGTCCCCAGACTATTTTGTTGACTATTTTTGGATATTCCCCCTGTAGAGGGACACGCCCGACTTAACATTACTCGGGGCGTGCAGCTCCAAGGATGCGCCGCATGTCGCAAAATCATTGGGCATGTCACGCGGTGCAACCAGTTCCCTCTGCGACTCAGACGCGCGCCCCATCGGTAGCCAACCCTCACGCGATATACGTACAGCGCCAATACATGGATCAGCACGAAGCTGATAAAAACGCGAGCGCTGCTCGATGAAAGCCAACCCGACACGCGGGGGAGGTCAAGCGAGGGATGGAGGAGATCGAGGGAAAGGAGGGGCAAGGAGGAACAGGGGTTTAGGAAGATGGAGAAGCGAGGCAACAGACCGGCAGGCCCCTTGAGCACGGCCCCGGGGCGTGGAATGCCCATCGCGGCGGGGCGATATCCTAGCAGGGGCGGTGAGTATTTTCATGGGGCCCTGGGAGGGATAAAAGTACCCGCCAGGCGCCCCTGAATGAGTTCGTGCTCCCAGGCCCTTTGCGGTTGCCTGTCGAACTGCTCATGATCCAGTTGTTCCTACGCTTGCTCCTTGCCCCCGCCCCAATCATCCATATCATTCCTATCCACTTCGTTCCGCCCTCCCTTGTCGTTACCCTTTCCGCTCCTCCTCCTCCTCCTCCACCTCCTCCTCCTCCTCCTGCCACCCCTGTCTTACAACGAAGTGTAATTGGAATCGGCTCGAACTTCTTGGCCGACCCTGCCCCCTCTTGCGCATTCCCAATTTGGGCCGTCCCGATCGCCCCGTGTGGCGGAGCGACATACGGTCTTTGTTCGCGGCGGCCCACCGAAGGGGTCGTTCAATTGTGGCGCAAAATGCCATGTATCATCTCTTGATTTTTTGGGGGGGTATTCGCTGCAGCGCTTGTGGACAAAAAACCGAAGGTGGCTCGAAGGGGACACCAAGCAGCGTTTCTAGACTGCCACTGCGGGCCAACAAGGTGAACGGAACGCACGTCTCTCATCCGACGCTGATTGCTCCCCCCTGGCGCCACGGGTCTCCCGTGGCCTCATGGCCCGTGGCCTGTGGCCGACGCCGTGGCCCGCGGCCCGTCGTTGCGACCAAAGACAGCTCGGCGACTGACAAAATATAATGGATTATCGCAGTCGACGCGTTGCAATATATGTGATGTACCCTACGCAATGCAATTTAAGCGGTGCAATAGAATCTACGCGGTGCACGCTACGTAATGCAATTTACGCGGTGCAGTCTACGTGGTGCAATAGACCCACTTTGACTGTCTTGAAGCTGTCCTCTCCGTTGCTCGTGCAAACATCCCACCCACCCACCCGCAACTTGGTTTGCAAAACCTGTTCAGACCGACTACGACGACACCGACGACAACGACTAGGACGACACCGACGACGTCTCCGACGACTTCGACGACGACAACGACGCCGACGCCGACGAAGACGAAGACGACGACGACGAGGCCAACGAAGGCGACGACGAGGGAAGAAGGACGACGACGGCGACAACGACGACAACGACGACAACGACGAGGGAGGAGGGAGGACGGCGACGACGCGAACGACGACGAAGGAGGAAGGACGGCGACGCCGACGACGACAACGACGAGGGAGGAGGGAAGACGACGACGACAACGCCGACGACGACGGCGACGAAATAGGAGGGACGACGACGAGACGCCGACGACGGACGACAACGACGACGAGGGAGGAAGAGGAAGGACGACCACGGCGACAACGACGACGGAAACGACCACGACGCCAAAGAGGACGACGACGACGAACACGAGGAAAGACAAAGGACGACGTGGCGACGACGACGACGACGACGACGACGACGGGAGGAGGGAGGACGACGACGACGACGACGACGCAAGAGCGCGCGCGCACGCTTTTGTTGAAAATCCGTGTTGCGAAACCTTGTGTTTTTGTAGTTTTTGGACGCGCGATTTCGAAATCCTTCCGAAACAGATGGGTTTTGAAGGATTTCGGCGTACGCGCGCGACGACGCGCGCGTCTGCACTTCGTCCCATTTGTTGCAGAGGATTCTCGCGACGGCACACGCGCAAGGGCGTTCGACAGATTTCGACATGCGCGCGCGAAGCCCGTTTGGTAGCATCTTTTTGAAAATCTTGAAAAACCCTTTGTTTTCTTCGGATTTCGCAAGAGCTCGCGCGGAAGTTTTTTTAGCAAATCACTGTTGCGAAACCCTTTGTTTTTGTATGTTTTTTGGAAACTCGATTGCGAAATCTCTCCGGCACCGCACGTTTTTGAAGGATTCCGGCATGCGCGCGCGACGACGCGCGCGTGCGCACTTCGTCCCATTTTTTGCAAGGGATTCGTGAAAAAGTGCTATGTTGGAACAAAAAATGTCACCGCATAGTGTTTTTTACAAGGGAACCGCAGGGGGGGGGATACCGGCTTGGCTGGGATGGTACGAGTTCATATTTAGGATAGACATGTGGTCAGAATCATATGTGATTTACAGCACGCGCGGGGGAGCCGATAAGTCCGGGGGGGGGGGAATCTATTACTCTTTTAGAA